GTAGTACTTAGGTGATTAGTGTCCACCAAGTTCACCAGAAAAGGTTGGAGCTTGTCCAGTCCAGCAAAATTAAACTTTTAACAGTGTGATGAGACTTATTACTTTTAATAACAACTTCACTTAAAATTTCATTGAAAATTAATCTCAAGTGTTTAGTCTCATTTCTTCTGACATTAATTATCATTTGGTAATTTAAAATCAAAGTATTTTTTAAAATTATGCTTCTCTGTCTCATGCCTCTGCATTTCTCCCATCATTCTGTCCTGCTCTTTATTCCTGTGCATGATTTGACATTGAGTTAACTATTCAACATACACTTTTGATGATGGTCCTTCAGTCTGGTTAAAAAAAATACACAGTTGCTAGTTCTGTTCGCACAGATCCCAGATTTTCTAAATAATGTACTAAATTGAAAAGGCTCACTAATCACAGCAAGTTCCAATGCAGAAACAAATCTGGGAGTTAAGTCTGACAAGCAGTCGACAGCATTTGTTCATGACAGACTGCATTTATAATTTTAAATTTATATGGCTTTGTTTGTTTCTTATGTAAAGTATTTGGGATGTTTTGTAATGTTGCAGTTGCTATATAAGTGCACATTATCATATGAGAGGGTGCTTAGAGAGATCAGAAGTTGAAGGAAAAGAGGTGATGGGGAATTAGGGCGTTGCTTATTGACTGGGTTTCTGAGCATACTTTTTTATTAAAAATCTTTGTGTTTAATATGGGCAGTCAGTACGGTAGATGTGCCAAAAAGAGAGAGTATTTGTGTTCTAGAGTTTCTGTCACTTGTTTGTGTAACAATATTGATTTATATTCTCTTACTGCAAGAAATCGATACTGAAACTGATTTGAGTAACATGCTTTAAAGTAGTGCAATATAACACGCTTGTCAAGTTTGTCCACTAATGAGAAATTCTTAAACCCCATTTTCCTATGATTATAGTTCACATAAAAAATTATTATTCCCAAATTATTTTTAGGTCAGAAGTTGTGAATTAATTTTAAAAAAAACATCGATTTTGTTTCAAGATTACGACAAATGAACAATTCACTGAATGTATTTGAAGTTGATTTTGAACTTCTGACTCATGAAGACGTTCAAGTATAGATTTCAGCACTGTTGAACATGAGGGTTTCAAATGTTCGTTAATTGACATTCTCCTAGAAAATGTATAAAGCTAAATTTGTAAATACTACGCTACCCAAACTTGCTTGTTAAATAAGTACAAACACTCTTTAAGGTCAGCTACATTTCATAGCCTATAGGATTTTAAAATCATTGTGACGGCATGTCCTTGAACATTTTAATGTCCTGCAGGATTTTCAGCTCAATGTAACAGAAATACTTGATTAGTTAAATGGACTCAAGAATGACAACCATTTTTGATGTGGTAGCATAAGTTTGGTTATTGAAAGGACAGCCAAAGAAATCGCAGGCTGTTATGGTAAACTTGTGTACTTCCATGGAAATAGAATTAATTTCCTGCTTTATAATTGTGTAAAGTCATGATAGTGCTTTAAATAGGTGTTAAAATTAATTCATTAATTGCAGAATTGTGGGTTATGCAGTACATCACACAAAAAAGAAAATTGTCTGTTCTGACTGTTTGAGTTGGTGGTCTTGAGCTTCTATGACTTGCCACCAAAAGAGCCAGACACGAGTAAGAAAGTACCGTGGGGAGAATCCGTGCAGGTTATGAAGGAGAATCACCAGAAGTAGCTTTATTCTCACGTGTACTGGAGTACTGTGAAAAGTTTACAAGTCACCACTTATGGTGCATCTTAGGTACCAAGGTACTCGGTACACATTCTTAAGTACAAATTCTTAGGGGAGAAACATTAGAAAAAAATAAAGAAATAAAAAGTCCAGCAGTAAATTATAAAAGTAGAGAAATAAAAGTTTAGAATAACAGTCCTTCCAATCCAGACTGCGCCGGGCTTCACTGAGGCCAGGAGTTGCCAGGGTCTGCGTTGGTTTCACCTGGACATTGCTGATGCTGCCCAAGGACAGGAGGTAAAAAGAAGATAAAGTGTGAAAAGAGAGAAGGAGGAGAAAAAGAAGTGGACAAGCTCCGGCTCATGAGTTCTATTCTGCCGCCATCTTGGCAGTGTTTTTTCTTCAAAAACTGTGTAAAATTTGTGTACAATATAACTCCCTTAAATCTGACCTAAAGTTTTCATTTTGCTTAGAAGTATTTAAAGTATTTACTTAGTTCCATAAAATGGAATGCAACTGACAGGAACCCTGTGATTACTCGTCAGCTCATATTACAGAGAATAGATCATAATATCATCCTGTTGGAGGTGACTCTTTGTATCGCTTCATATAAAGTACGAAAGGTAACCTTGAATACCTGTCAGGAACTGTCCATTTCAGAAAGGTAGATTTATCTTACATACTAAAACGCAAAGCTAAGGTTTGACCAGTTCGTGCAGTCTGAACCCCAAGATTGTTTTACATTCTCAAACATACTTTAAGATCTTACCTTTTTAGCAAAGTTTTGATGTTTTTCTGAATTTTTTGGCCTTCCTATTACTCTTAGTGACTATAAGTATAACAGTGCCCAGATTTTGTCATGTTACTTCTTTGCGATTTGATTGGAAATGATTTCCCATAATAGTGGACAGTTGCACAAATAAGCATTTCTTTGGGATAGTTGAATGGACTTTAACAAAGGGCTTTTCAGATTGGTATGGAATTTGCTTCTGAAGGGTGTAGCCATGATTTGAATGTGAAAGTAGATGAAGGCAACAAAACACTCAAAGTATTCACCTCTAAAATGTATTTATGCTCAATGTTTATTTAGGGGTTTTTACTATTTTTACTGATATTGTCTGTTAAAGTGGACATAGTACACATGGTATTCTTTGCGAGGTGACAGAAATATTGAGATCCCACAATTGTTGCTGCCATGGTAAAGAAATGATCAACTCTTGTTTATTGGGAATTTCCAAAAATTCTTCCAGTATTCTTTAATTAAAAGTTTTTAAGATGTAGTTCATGCTTCCTAAAAGCGGGATGCAAGATTTTGAACAAGGAATGCAGGGAAATATGAGGAGGCATTTTTGCACTGGAATTGGCTGCACATATGTGCAGTGGAATTAATGCTTTCAAAAGGAAATTGGATGACCACTTGAAGAACATACTTGCAGGGCTTTAAGGACCAAGTGGAGGAATGGGACTGACTGTATTTCGCCACCGAAAGCTAGCTTGGACTTGATGGGCTAAATGACCTATATAATGAATTGCTCTTTTACTGTATGACAGCCATGGTAGAAATGTTATTTTATAAATTCTGTACTCTAAAATAGCACTACTTTTAACATAGCAATGCAGGATGTTCACCTTTTAATATAGTATCAATCTAAGCATTTGTTATAGACCTTGTGTGGGATGCACTCTCAAAAAGGATTGAGGAGAGTTGATCTGTGTGGAAGATAAATGGCTTTTTGTTATCTTTCTTAACAAGCAAAGAATACAACTGACAATTTTAGACCATATGTCTAGTTGTTTTTGAACATACTTGAAATTGTTGATTTTGCACTTCAGACTCATGAAAACGCTCGCATAAGTTTCTGCTCTGTTTTATTCGAGAACTGAGAGGGATCTGTCTTCCCTAGAAAAGAGAGGACTGAGCAGTAACCTGAGAGAGGCCTTTGTGGCCACAAAAGGCTTTCAAGTGTATAAGTGGAGAAGATGTTCCACTTACGCATGAGCCCTGAACATGCCATAGATATAAGGTAATCAAGGTAATAAGGGTAGCATACTGGCATGGTGGTTAGCACTGCTGCTAGAGACAAGGGTTTGATTTAACCCTCAGTTGATTATCGGTATAGAGTTTGTATGTTCTCCTGGGTCGGCGTGGGTTTCTGCCAGGTGTTCTGGTTTCCTCCCACAGTCCAGAGATGTACAAGTTAGGTGGATTGGCCATGCTAAATTGCCCTGTGGTGTTTAGGTGTATTAGCCATAATAAATGCAGGGGCTTAGGGTGGTGTCTGGGTCTGGATGGGATGCACTTTGGGGGGTTGGTGCAGATTTGATGGCTTAAAAGTCTCTTTCTGCACTGTGGGGATTCTATGATCCTATTAAATCTAATAGGAAATTCAGAAGAAGTTGTATTCAATGTGTATGGGTCTGTAAACCGTGGTAGTGGTTAAGGTGACTAAGTTTTGGTGCATTTCAAAGCAAGCTAGATAACCAAATGATGGAGAAAAGAATGGTAATGTTGATAGGACTAAATGAAAGGCGGAAAATGTGTCATATGGACTGGTTGGGCCCAATAGCCTGTATTTGTGCTGTACGATTCTCTGTATATCTGAGTGAACATACATCATTAGTGGTAGATGAGATTCATAAACTGGATTGTTCAAACTTACTTCTGGAATAGGACTCTTAGTAAATAGATGATTGTATGTTGATCACTATGAACTTTCAGAAAGTTATCATTTTGAAAGAGCACATGGGGCCATTCTTGAATATTTCCACCATGAGGTTTGAACTTTGTTAAATCAATGGGGCAGATAGTAATAATCGGAGCAGGAGAGCTGACGTTTTGGGTCGGGACCCTTCTTCAGAAATGGGGGAGGGGTAAGGGGCCTCTGAAATAAATACGGAGGGGGCGAGTGGGGCTGGGGAAGGTAGGTGAGATGGTGATAGGTGAGTGCAGGTAGGCAGTGGTGGAGATTGGTCAGTGAGGTGGGAGGAGCGGATAGGTCAGGGAGAGAAGACAGACAGACAGGTCAAGGAGGTAGGGGTGAGAGGGAGGGTTGGTCATGGGATGAGGCCAGGAGTGGGGAAATTTTGGGGAGATTACGAACTTCAAAATCTCCCCATTCCTGGCTCAACCCATGATCAACCCTCTCTCTCATACCCACCTCCTTGACCTGACACAACCTATCCATCTTCTCCTACCTATCTGCCCCTCCCACCTCACTGACCAATCCCCACCACCACCTACCTGCACTCACTGATCACCTCCTCTCTCTATTTATTTCAGAGCCCCCTCCCTATCCCCCATTTCTGAAGAAGGATCCCGACCTGAAACGTCAGCTTTCCTGCTCCTCGATGTTGCCTGGCGTGCTGTGTTCCTCCAGCTCCACACTGTGTTATCTCTGACTCCAGCATCGGCTATTATTACTATCTCTGGGGCAGAAAGTAAGGTGTGACAGAGAGTGAGAGAAGAGTTGGTGTTAGGAATGGGCAGACGTATTAAGGTACAGACATATGAACAAGGAACAAAAATAGGTCACTTGGCTTTTCAAGTTTGCTTTTCCATTCAGTAAAATCATGGTTGATCTGATTTTAACCTCCAATCTACTTTCTGCATATCCCTGATAATGTTTCATTCCCTTGGTAATCAAAAATCTATCAATTCTACATCCAATGCCTTTTAAGGAAGGGAATTCTGAAGACACTCCTCTTCTGAGATTTAAAAAAAGTTAGATTGTCTCTGTCTCTGTTTTAAATGGGTATCCTTTATGTTGAAACTTTGACTCCTAGATCTAGACTCTCCCACAAGAGAAAGCATCCTTTCAACATCCTCCCAGTCATGAGCCCTCAGGATCTTTCAAATAAGTCACCTTTCACTCTTCAAAACTGCAAAGGACAGAGGCCTGGCCTATCCAGTTTTTCCTCATAAGGCAATTCGTTCATTCCAGATATTAGTCTAGTAAAGCTTCTCTGAACTGCTTCCAATGCATTAACAACCTTTCATAAGTACGTGATCCAAATGTGGTATTCCCCCTGCCCTGTATAACTGAAACATACATCCCTACTCTTGTATTTATTTCCCCTTGCAGTTAACCATGACATTCTGTTAGCTTTTCTGATTATTTGCTGTAACTGCATATTAATCCTTCTATGACCCATGCACTAGGGCACCAAGATTTCTCTGCATCTCAGCCCTGCAACCCTTAACTATTTAGAAAAAAAATGCTTCCTTTTTATTCTTTCTGCCAAAATGGACAATTTTATACTCTCCCACCATGTACTCTGTTTGTCAGATCTTTGACCACTCACTTAGGCTGTCTGTATCCCTTTGCAGGTGTCTTATGTCCTCTTCACAACTCAATTTCCTACCTATCTTTGTGTTATGAGCAAATTAAGCTACCATACTTAATCCCTTCATCCAACTCATTTACATTACATTGTAAAGAGTTGAGGCCCCAGTATAGACCATTGTGGTGCATGGCTTTTGTGACAACATTCCTGAAAAAGACTCACTTATTCCTACTGTCTGGTTCCTGTTAGCAAGCCAATCTTCTATCTATGCTGATATGTTACCCCCATACCATGAGCTTTTAATTTGTGCAGTAATCTTCAAAGTGGCACCTTATTAAGTGCTGTCTGAAAATCCAAATACAATACATCCATTGGTTCTCCATTATTTATAGCATAAATTACTTCTTCAATGAATTCCAATAGATTTGTTAAACATGATTTCCCTTTAACAAAGCCATGTTGGCTCTGTCTGATTTCTGTGAACATATCCAAATACCCTGCTATAATGTCTTTAATAATAGCTTTCAACATTTTCTCCATGATGAATGTTAAGCTAACTGGCCTCCCTTTTTGAGTAAAGGAGTTACATTAGCTGTTTGCCAATCGGAAGGAACCTTCCCTAAACTGAATGAGTTATGGAAAATTAAAACCAACGCATCAACTATTTCACTGGCTGCTACTTTTTGGACCAGGATGAAATCCATCAGGACCTGGCGACTAGTCAACTTAAGTTCCCCAACAATTGACTCAGTACTGCTTGTCTGATAACTGTAATTTTCTTGAGTTTTTTGTCCCTTTGAATTCTTGATTTACACCTTTTTCTGGGATTCTACTTGTAATCTCTAGTGAAGATTGACACAAAGTATCTGTTCAATTAATCTTCCATCTCTTTCTCTTCCATAGTTAATTCCCTAGATTCGTTTTCTATAGGACCAGCGTTTAATCTGTTAACCCCTTTTTTAAATATCTGAAAAAAACTTCGATCTGTTTTTATATTTTTGGCTAACTTTCTCTCGTTTCTAAATTTCCCTCCTCAATCTTTTAGTGATTTTTGCTGTTTTTCATGTTCTGTCCAATTTTCTCACTTGCCACCTATCTTTGCAAAATTATATCTTGTTTTCTTCGAGTTTGATATTATCCTTGGTGTTTTTAGTTAGCCGTGGATGGCAGATCTGAGCTTTGGAATTTTTCTTACTTAAATAGTACTAATGTTTAATTTTAAGACATCTTTTTCTAACAATGCCCACAGTAAGAAAAGCTGCCATTCAGTTTGACTATAGTGATTTTCCCTGTTCTTTTCCTCGTGGAAAGACCCTTCAATTCATAGTATTCTGAGCCAGTCAGCCAAAATGATTTGTGTTAGTTGTATCTGTTATTTCTTTTAATATGGAAATTTGCAAATAATGATATTTTAATAAATATGGAAATTTGAGTGATTTTATTGTATGAACTCCAAGTCTAGAAAAGGAGAATTATTAAATTATTGGAAAATTATGGAATTTGGTTATGATTGAAATTCTATTGTAAGGAAGTTCAAATTGACTTTTGAAAAAGTTACTTTAGGCACATTTGGTTGTGTATTGAGTAGCAGGAGTGACAAAACTGTCATTTTAAAGCTGTATGGAGCAAAACCATATGGAGCAAAAAATTATTAATAACCTGATCACTCCTCATGTATTATTTAACAGATAACATGTTTTCATAATATAATTTGTACCATGACTTGCATATCTTTTAAAAAAAAAAAAATGTTGTCTACACAAATACATACTGAGAATGTTTTCAGACGCGTCTTTCTTTGATACGTGCACACGGACGATTAAAATGTTTTGAAGTTTTCCAAAATGTGAAAATGAAATTAGAATTTCTTTCAAGTATGTCAATGTTCACAGTTTATGATCATCTGCTTGCTTAAAGAATTCCATGTAGCCAATAAAGAGGTGACTGCTTGGTTCTGTAACTGGATATTTTTAATCAACCTGTTCATAGTTGTTATTGGCACATCTCTGGAGCAGATGGGACTTGAACCCAGGTTTCTTGGCCCAGAGGTAGGGTACTAACACTGCACCACAAGAGCACCTATTTGGCTTTGTGACTGCATGGAGTGTTTGGATTGAAATCCAATCATGGAAAACTGTCCCGACCAGTCTCCTGCACTCATGTGACCTCTGTAATGAGGCACACTCACTTTAGGCAGAATGTTTTTGAACTCACTTGGATAAAGCCTTCGCGGGGATCGCTGCTGTGTTGTGCACTTGAAACACTCTAAATAATTGCTGAACCATTGTGAATTTGGATCACTATAATTTTGATCAAATCAAAATGGCTTGGGGAGAAGATGTGGCTCACTTAATAGCTGATTTAGATAATCTGAAGTACTTTATTGGGAAATCTGTTTTCTGTGTTTATTTTGCTACTGAATTTTATGCTAATTTCCTGAATTTTTGTCTTATGCCTAATACTGCATGATGCAACACCTTGAGCATCATCTCATGCAACAAAATAGCATTGTAGCAATTCTGTAATCTTATGTGTAATGGTGTAATCTAGCAAATGTTCCATTATGTGTAGAGGAGAAACATATGGTAGGTAATGGAAGACTGAAGTGTGACAGCTGAAACCTTGTCCTTTAATGGTGTAACAAGGAACGAGTGCACCAGACACTGGAGTTAGAGGTAAACGGCACAGATCAAGAATATTAAATTTCATCTTCTATGGTAGTCCTGACCCAAAATCTTGGCACTTGTGAACCAGGTTCAGCAAAAGTAAAAAATGTGCAATATATACCTGTTTCTGGATTCAAGATCTGTCTCGGCATGTTCCTTGCTGTTTTTGATGGACTTTGATCTGAGGCATCCATTAGGTTAAATTAACTTAATTAAGATCTGTTCTCATTTCAGAATCCTTCTGTAAAATATGTAGAAAAACAAATCTGAGTGTGCACTATCCAAGCACTGTCTAGCTTTCCCAGTTCTACAGCAGTTCTTAAAGTTTCCCAATGTCCTGTGAACCTCTATGGAAAAGCAGTGATATCATAGAGGGAGGAAGGTGGCAATGCTGTGTCCAAAGTCTGAAGCAGTGCCTGGATGATTTGTATCCCTTTTGAGAATACTCAAGACCTCAAATATATTGTGTGTCATACTTCTGAATCCCTTGTGTAAACTAGGATATCAGTTTATGTTGGCTGTGGTGTGGGATATCCCTTTTCTTAACAACAAAAGTGAGAATTTAGAATTTGGTGTATTGGAGGAAAAGGAGGCACTGGAGTTTTATATACGCATAATGATAGCTAACTAGAACAGGATGTGAGTGTTTGGATTTCAAATGAGCATGAGATTGCATAGGTTAAAACTTGGGAAACTTGCAAAGAAGTCTTTGGAAATATTCAATTGTAGGCTGTTGAAGCACGGATAAGCATTTCGTGGTTAGGTGGTCGGATAAGATTGAGTTGGACAATTTGCAGAGTTGGAACTAGGTAGCCTTGACAATGAACATCAATAATTTGAAGTTCAGCTTGGGGTTAACTGGGCATACAGACTCCATCTCATCTGTTTTGTCCTGTTGTGGATGGTAAAATATGGGAGACAGTGAGAAGTTTTTTTTAAAGATTTGGTTAGTCTGGTTTCAACTGCCATTCTTAAATTGATTGTCAGCATAATTCTTTATGCACTCAAGATTATTTAGCAAATGGTGTTCAATCATAGAATCACATTAAATATTGACCATGTGGGTGGCGTTTTCCCATCATTTAATGATTTGTCAATTGAGATTCATGGCATTTGGTGTGTCATGGCTCTCAGAAATGTTTTTCCTACAATTTTTGATTCTTCGCTTGACTTATTTATGCAGCCAGGCTCTTCAGCACCTTTCCTGTTGAATGAAGTGGCAGAAGAGATGGAAGTGCTCATTTTTGCTGGATCCTCTGGCATTCATGTACTGATGCCATATTTCAAGACGAACTCAACATCACTTTAGAAATTACAAACCAGGAACAACCCCCTCTATGTGGGTTGTCCTCACAGAGGACAAATCAATTCTTCTTCCCACCTCAACCCCCAACACGCATGCACAGGCACAAGCACGCGTACGCACACTAAAACGTGCGCACATTCAATATTCACTCTCACCTCAGTCTCCTTCTCTCACGCACTCCCCCAGCCTATCATCCGTACCCTCTCTGCTGCCGTGCTCCGCCTCGCTCTGCGCCTCCCCC